GGAATCCAGGGCAGATGATCCCTTCAGAGCCAGTGGTGTGAGTGGCGATACTGGGAGGGTAGAGGGAGAGTGGGTTGGAAAGAGGGAACCGATTACAAAGATCTATTATGTGACCTCCTCCCCTGGGGGACGGACAATGGAAAAGTGGGTGAAGGGAGTCGTCGGACAGGGCAAGATATGACAAAATAATAATTTATAAATTATCAAGCGCTCATGAGGGAGGGGGGAGTGGAAAAAATGAGGACCTGATGCCAGGGGCTTAAGTGGAGAAAAAATGTTTTGAGAATGATGAGGGCAATGAATGTACAGATGTGCTTTACACATTTGATGTATGTGTGGATTGTGATAAGAGTTGTATGAGCCCCTAATAAAACGATTAAAAGAAATCAAGATAAACAGGCAGGAAGACACGCACTACACACGTTCCTAAGGCTTCTCAACACTTGAAAATCAGCCCAGAGGCCCAGGACCAGGAGTAAGAGCACACACTTACTGCACACCTAGATAAAGAAAACGCAACCACGTGACAACCTGGAGGAAGGCTTATGATAGATGTTCAGTGAAATTGGTCTATAAGATTATCTGGAGGCGAATAAGCCAAAGAAGTGTTAGGGCGGTTGGGGTCTGAAGCCTTCTTTATTGGTACTATATAAAGTGTCATTCAACGTAAGTACTTCTAACTTTAAAAAGAGTTGATTGATAAAATTATGGTCAAGAAAACTCTGTTTTTCAAAGCACCCTGCTTCATTTTCTTACCTGAAGTCCCCAGCTGTGAACTTGGCCTCGGCCAGGGAAAAGGCGGCTTCACGCATCACTTCACCCATCAGCATTTTGGTCTAGAAAAGCATAAGCAACAGATTCAACCCAAGTTTCTTGTAAGTAAAACTCGTAACACAGTTATGTTCCTTTAGCCATCAATATTTGTTTAGTGTACATATAAATACCAAGTTGACACTGGTAAAGATAAAACAAAGTAAAGATCTCTAATTTTCTTTCAACATTTTAGGATTATAGTCACTAATAATATTGCTAAACCATGAGTTATACTCAAAACACTGGAATAAACAAATTAGGATTTAACGGCAAACAAATGAACGAAAAGAAGTAAAAATATTCACTAACAGAAATTATTACATTCCATTTATCTAAGCAATGCACTACCACATAGCTATTGCAAAGAATTGCCCAGATCTGTTTAAACTGACAAGAGACAAAGAGCTGTGTACGTTTCCCCCTATGGGAAGGGGGTGGGATGGTGGTGGTAATGTTCCAGAATTTCATAATTATATGTACAGTACCAGTGTCAAAAGGAGCTACCTCTAGGAAGTGAGAAAAAGATGGCAGGGCTGTAGAATGCCGGTTGTGCCTTAAATACAGCTGTGTTCACAAAGCAACGCTCCTAAGGAGACTGAATGCATACCTACAACACGCCAGCATGATTTTCGGCCCTGAAAAATAGTGCTGAAAAGGCCAAGTCTTTGCTCTCATGGAGCTTGGATTCTAGAAGGAGAAACATACTAGGAAAGAGTGACGAAGTAGCACGATGATAAAAATCAAAGGAGGGGGAAACGGAGAGCTAGTAAGTAATGAGTACAAGAATGAAAAAAACGTTCCAAAATTGACTACAGTGATGGCACACCACTGTTTTTAACATGTTTAAACTGCTGGATTGCATGTGATTTGCCTGTCAATAAAACTTAAATTTATAAATAGTTAACAAATAAAAGGCGATGTGACAGAAGGAAATAGGGGCATCACATCAGATTGGGCGACCTGTGATGGCCTCTTTGAAGAGAACAGAATGGCCAAAAGAGCCATTCATTCATATAGTACCTGGGATCACTTCAGGTAGAAAAACAGCTAAGGCACATGCCCCACAAGAGGAAGCTGGGAGAATGCTCACAACCAGATCAGATCAGATCAGATCATATTACGTGGGGCTTTTCCAGCCAGGGTAGAGTGTTTAGATTTTACTGAATGAACTATGTGAAGGTTCTTAAAATGACAATGGGTGTTTTTAATTTAAAAAAAATTATAAAAACTTAAGAGAAGAAAAAAAAAACGTAGAGAAGAATTTAAAATGCCAAGGGCGAGACTGGATTTTCCTCTTAACGTAAATACAGTTCTGGGTCGAGTTCACCCTGTGTGTTAGTCTGGGTACTTTAGAGAAACAAATCCACAGAAACTCATGCATAAGAGTTTTATGTAAAGGTTAAGTGCGCATCAAGAAAATATCCCAACCCAGTGCTGCCCAAGCTCACAAGTGCAACATTAACCCATTAATCCATACGTCCAACACCAATCCACGAAGTCCTCCTCCATCTCACAAAACAGACGCAATGATGCCGACTGCAGGAGGAAAACCGAGTCAGTGAACGTGTAAACATCTCAGCACTGGCAGGGGTCTCCACACGGCTGCTCCAGCACCCAGGGCTGCATCGGGGTAGGTCCATGTGGCTTCTCCTTAGGGATGTCTTGCAGGAAGTCAACCTTGCAAGTTGAAGCAGGAAACTGCTAAGGCAGCTGCACCTTGGTGTGACCATCACAAAGCAAGAGACCCGAGAACTCAAAAGCCGAGGCTCACCAAGCCATGTATCTCTCCGCCCTTCAATTAATCCCACGTGTGTTTATTGGCCAGGTTGGCACAATAACCTAACTACCTCACCCTACCTCTATGATCTTCTTTAGGATCTGTCGAAATCGAAGAGTCAAGGCATCAGATTTTTTCTTCAGGAGGTTTCGGCCGGTCTGGGCTCCTTTCAATCGGGCCTTCATGATGGTCTGTGCCCTACAACACACAGTCAGAGGTTTCTTCTCATTCAAAGGAAGACAAGCACCAACCGCCACCCCCATCCCCACCCCTGCCCAGCACCACGTCAAAATGACGTTGAATCCTTAGGTGCCACAAGAGTGAGAAAGTAAGGTTTCCTCCCTGAGTTCTTGGAAGATGAGTTTATTAATAAAACAGAAACAACTCGTTATTATCTAGACTAAACATTTGATAAAACATTTATCATGAGCTTAAGTGGAAAGCAAATGTTTTGAGAATGATAAGGGCAACGAATGTATAAATGTGCTTGACACAATGTATGTATGTATGGATTGTGATAAGAGTTGCATGAGCCCCCAATAAAATGATTTTAAAAAACCCAAACAAACATTTATCAGAAACCCTAGTTAATGATGCCAGCATTGTTTAAAGTTATTTGACTTATAAGTTAAGATAATAATTTTTGTTTTCATATCCAGCACAGATATTTAAAAAAACTGTTTTTTAAGCCGTCCAATAACATGTAAATCTGAAAAGGTTTATCTTTAGACCAGTAATTCCACCTGGAGAGATATATCCTATAGAGTTTCAAAAGCATTTACAAGGATAAGGACAAACATAATAACCTTATTCTTAACAGCAAAAGCGTAGAAACAAACTAAATTTGAATAAATCATAGTACACCATAAAATGGAATAACAGAACGTTACACTGGAACACACATGGACCAATCTCCCAATAGTTCAGAGCAGGGCAGGTAAGCATCTAGAGTGCTATCAGTTGTGCAAAGCAAGAACGAAACGTGCCCAGAGATGCAGAGCTTGTCCCAGAAAGCACCTGCAGGACCTGGTAGGCGTGGTGACCTTTGGGAATTGGTGCTGGCTGAGAAAAACGAGATCTACTTTTACTATTTATTATACTCTTACGACTTTTGGGTTTTATACCACAACCATTTGCTAATTTTTTTCTTTTAAAAGAAAAAGAAGGTAGCACTAAGATTTTTTAAAGCAGCACTACGATTTTTTTGGCATCATCAATCAAGACCCCAATAGCAACCACTGTATTAATTTGTAATAACTCTAGGTAATATTGCAAAGGACAAAGAGCTCCTGAGCTGAGGCACCAACTCACCCCGAAGCTTCTTTACCTTACTTCAATCTTTTCCCCTCAAAAGCCCAATCCCAAAGTCAAGAAAACAACAGTAGAATTGGCATTTCTATTTTTGCTGCCATATGCCAGATAAAATAGCATTTAGTGAAGGGGAATAAAAAGCATTTGAGCAATAAAATTCAGTAACAAATTGTACTGAAGTTAAAGTGCTTTGTTAAATAGGATATAGCACTTAGCGCAATGGGCAACAGTAAAGCAGCATGTATTCATGGGTCTTTCGACTAAATTCTTGGATTATTCTGTCATCTTTTACCATCGGGTTATAGCGCCAATGAGGTGATTTTATAGTTGGAAGGCTCCAGACATTATCTTAAAGATCAGGAAATGTGGCTCAGAAAAGGGAAGCAACATTCCCATGGCTGTTCTGTGAAGACAGGAGGCAGGAATTTGAACCACACTTCTCTCTCTAGTGAGCTGCCTAAGGCTCAATCTTAAGGTCATTGTACCCCAACTACATGCTACAATGCCTCTCCTTCAAAATGTACTAGTAACATCAAATGTACTGTCTGGTTCTTTCTTTGAAAGACCTGTCAGGGGCTAACTCAGCTGACTGGCCTCTCTGGAGGTCTAACCTACTGAGGCTGGTTCTGATTTCAGCCTGAGCTGGAGCTAGCCACTCCAATGTGTACATTTACCACGCTTCCTTGTTGACACTAACCACAAGCATAGGGGCTCAAAAGACTTGGATCAAATTAAGCCAAAAGCTTGTACTGCAGGTTCCAGCAAGTTTATAGTATAAAGGTTAACTGATTGCAAGATTAAATCCTTTGTGCTCATTTTAATTTCCTCCAAAATAGACAAATTTTAAATTTTGAGACTTTCAAGGGATGAGCCCAAGGACTTAATTAGGGCTGGCCATGTACTACTAGAGCCTGGATGTGACAGGCCAGATCTCTGTTGACCCCAAATCCCACAAGTCTCTTTCAGTTGCACTCTAAACTTGGTCTGTTTTCTCTGGTGCTTAAGTAGGGTTAGGAAAGAATGCTTTACAGGTAATATTTTAAGTGAGCCTGTCTAGGAAACTGTAGTTATTGTTGTACTTTCTAGCCTAGGTCTCAAAAAAATTTGCTCTTTTGCATGCTTAGCACAATGGGTTAAAAAAAAGACTGACCTTGAGCTAGATGAGGGCTGTTTCCCACTGAATCAGAGCCATCTGACTAAATGACAAAGTACTTGCTCTCAGGGCTTGAGACGAATATTTAGAGAAGTGATTACTTCCTGCACTTGATCTTGCTCTCAATTACCAAATTTCACATGTTCCCTTCTCTGAGCCTAAAAGGTGCGTTTTGAAAATAAGAAATGGGAGCATTCTAATTACCTACCCCAAGGTAGTCTTCCTCCTCACATATTTCACAGAAATTGCCTTTCTCTACAACTAGCTTGTTTCCCAACCAGTGTCACACAGCCATTAGAAGAGCCAGTAGGTCAAGGTAGCAAATAAAACTTTTCAATTCATTAAGAAGTTTAGTTACCTTGGCCAAGTTGGAAATCTGGGCTTAGGATTTGAATACAACTTATTTCAAGCACCCTCTGGGGAAAAGGGCAAGATGAGAAAAACAACTGAAAACACAAAGAGATCTAAATGTCAGAGCCAAACCTTTCTGCTTCCTCACTGAAAACAGAAGAAGGGGTGGGGGAAAAAGCACTTATAAGAACAGTCTTTACTCTCCAACAGCTGTAACGCATATTACAGAAAAAGTCAGTATTTCCTTTACAAACCGACTGAACACCTTGCTGTTTTTCTTGTCAAAGAAACCAGGCCAAAAGAGAAAGGCAGCCCCATGGCTGAAACAGAGTCCGGGGCCTGGGTTTGTTCAAGGATCATTTGTTTGTGGACCTGTGATGGATTAATAATCAGGATGCTTTCTCAACCTTGAGGAATATGTGTAACCAAATATCCATTTTACAGGGTGATGAATGAGACTAACAGAGGTGCAAACAGGTGCCATGATGACAGAACAAATTAAGTGACTCATAAATCAGGGATA